GGGATAAGGTATTGTATGTCAAAATTTGGGAGTTCTCACAGTCAACAATCATTGAGGCTTAGCTTATCAACTGAAAATTGTTGGGTTGACCATTTCATCTGCAGACCTGAAAACCTCCTCCACCTACTACTACTACTATTACTACTTTTTTCTTTTCTTTTTTTCTCTATTTTCTTTTTTTTTTCTCTATTTTCTCCTTTTTTTTTTTTTTTTTTTTTTTCTATTTTCTTTTTTTTTTTCTCTATTTTCTCCTTTTTTTTTTCTCTATTTTCTCCTTTTTTTTTTTCTCTATTTTCTCCTTTTTTTTTTCTCTATTTTTCTATTTTTCCTTTTTTTTTTTTTCTCTATTTTTTTTTTTTTCTATTCTCCTTTTTTTTTTTTATTTTCTCCTTTTTTTCTCTATTTTCTCCTTTTTTTTCTCTATTTTCTCCTTTTTTTCTTTTTCTTTTTTTCCTCTCTATTTTTTTCTCTTTTTTCTCTTTTTTTTTTTTCTTTTTTCTCCTTTTTTTTTCTCTATTTTTCTTTTTTTTTTTTTCTTTTTTTCCTTTTTTTTTTTTTTTTTTCTTTTCTTTTTTTTTCTCTATTTTCCTTTTTTTTCTCTATTTTCTTTTTTTTCTCTATTTTTTTTTTTTTTCTCTATTTTCTCCTTTTTTTTTTTCTCTATTTTCATTTTTTTTTTTTCTATTTTTTTTTTTTTTTTTTTTCTATTTTCTCATTTTTTTTTTCTTTTTTCTCTATTTTCTCTTTTTTTTTTTCTCATTTTTTTCTCTATTTTTTTTTCTCTTTTTTCCTCTATTTTCTCCTTTTTTTTTTTCTATTTTCTCCTTTTTTTTTTTTCTTTTTCTCCTTTTTTTTTTTTCTCTATTTTCCTCTATTTTTTCCTTTTTTTTTTTTTTTTTTTCTCCTTTTTTTTTCTCTATTTTCTCCTTTTTTTTTCTCTATTTTCTCCTTTTTTTTCTCTCTCTATTTTCTCCTTTTTTTTTTTCTCTCTATTTTCTCCTTTTTTTTTTTTCTCTCTATTTTCTCTCTCTATTTTCTCCTTTTTTTTTTTCTCTTTTTTCTCTATTTTTTTTTTCTCTCTATTTTCTCTTTTTTTTCTCTCTATTTTCTTTTTTTTTTTTTTTTTCTCGAGACTAGTTATTCCAATAAGTTATTGTATACCTTTGTTTATTCAATTGCTCAATTCTCTGGCCTTTTTCAAATGAAATTGTAGTGGACCTCTTTATTTCAAGCAGGTTGCAAAATGAGTTAGCCATAATCGTCGAGAGAAAAAAAACGAATTGAATAACAGCTCATTTCTCAGGCTAAAATTATTGATCTCAATTAAAGCCTAACAAGGTTGTATTACAACCTTATTAGGCAAACAGCTCACTTCTCCACAAGTAAGGCACCTGAAAAGAAATCTTCAATGATGTTCCTCTGTCTGCTGAACCAACTTTACTCTTAACACAGCAATATTGTGTCAATCCATCTGAAAAGGAAAATTCAATAATTTTGATTACTAACTAGAGAAAATAAGAAGGCTGGAGACTTGATCCTTTGTAATGCTGTACTGAAAGCAACAAAGTTGATATGTTTGCAGACAATTTAGATATGAAACTTTTGTGGAATTTTTTTGTTTTTCTTAAAGCTAAAACAAAAGTTCTGCAATGTTATCTGTTCTGACCTGGCATCTTAGCTTCAGTCACTTTTCCATCACTATAACATAGCTTCTCTGTACCTTTTTCTATAAATATTTTGATGGCAATTGTTCTGATGAGCTTTCCTTTTTGGTACCTTGACTTTGTGTAGCACTAGATTAGCAGTTCGGTCTCATTATTTTACTGTTGAAATACGTAGATGTAAATATAAGTTCCATTCTAATATTTTTTTTCTCTTGCACTTCGACTATGGAACTCTCTTCCAGCTTTCCTGTCAATTACGATATCCAAAAATTTAAGTGTTATATCAATCGCCATCTGCCTTTTTGAATCCTGTTTTTTTGTTGTACTTTCTCCTCACTATCATTCTCTCTTTTCTTTTCTCACTCTCGGTAACTTCTTGTATTTTAGTGGCTTTATCATCTTGCTTGGGGTGAAATGATTAACATTTAGCACTCTGCATCATTTATAAATTTGACTTCTTTTACTCTGTATGGAACCCCCTCAAAATATAGTGTTTTATATATTAGTTTAATATAATCGAAATTGCAGTAGCCTGGCTCTCAATTTCAGTCAAGAGTGTTTTAGAAAAAGTTTTTACTTATTTGTCCTTTTAATAAAGGAATCAATGTGAAACTTAAGGCGTCTTTAATAATTAATTTGTTTGGTCTTATCAAAACAGAAGATTCAAATGATTGTCATGATTGTAAGAGGTTGAATTTTCACTTCAATATTTTACTTTTAATTTTGACTTTTTTTATTCTCATAATGATCCAATCTGTAACTAAAAATGTAATGTAACCTTATATATTTAAGGGTCATGCAACCTGCTTTTGTCCACTTTTTAAAAAAAAATTTTTTTAATGAAATCTTTTATCATTAACAGAAGACATTAATTGAAGTCAATAAGCAAACATGCCTTGTTCTACAACAGTATTTCATTAGTAAGAAGAGGAGAGCAGGCTGCTAATTCATTTTTTTTTCTATCTGAATTTCTGGGGTGTGGAGTTATTTAAATGCAAAATATTGTCTTCTTTTTTGCTGCTGGTATCACGTTGTTTTGGCTGTTGTGTTCTTCAGCTTTCATCAGGTGTATGTTGATCCAGGTAACCAACAGGGAATTTTGAAATGAGCCCTTTATTTAATCTACAGGAGCAAATTGTTCTGGTTCCATTGCCCCATGTTTAGTGTGTCTGTTAATAGATTGTTATTTTGTGTTAGCTTTCTTTGGACATCTTTATATTTTAAAAGCTTTTTTCTTTTTCTTTTTTGTTGTATTCATTAAAAGCATATTTAAATATGATGTAATTGTATAAAAAAGTATGTTTATTGCTGACAACAGAAAAAAAATGACCAATGTAATTACAGAATAACTTTATTATCCTTTTTCTTTTTTTTTCTTTTTTTTGTTTATGCTACTGCTACGGGTAGACTTGTAATAAAATTCTTTGTCACAACAGAGATGTTGAGTGACACATTAATCATTGACAGTCACCTTTATAATAAATTATATATATATATATATATATATATATATATAATGCTACTGGAATGAAGATTGTGGAAATTTTGAAAATTGGGAATTAAAACTCCCATCTACCAAGAATTCCCCACCCCCTGACTATGTTTTTTTCCCTGCAGGATGTTATGAAACTGTGAGGCCATAGCCTTTGTTTGGAAAGTCTTACAGTCGAAGCTGATATTCTTCTTGGCATGGGGACAAAACAAAACCTGTTACTTTTACCAAAGACTGTTTATCAAGTGGTGTTAGGTTTGTAATTTCTCTTTTTGAAGAGTGTATTGTATTTTGGTTTTATATGCAAGAATCAATGAGATGAGAAAATGCATTTCCTTTTTTTCTTTTTTTTTTTTTTTTTTAATCTTGTTTTAACTATTTTTGTTTGGTGTATAAAATTTTCTTTGTGTGTGTGCTTATTTTTTTTATATATTTATTTTTTTATTTTGTGTTTAACTTTTTTCACATCAAAATAGAAATTTTATTTAAAATAGCACAAATTACAAATCCATTATATAGCTTGTATTTCTTAAAATTTGAGTAATCAATGGGAAAGCTATAATGAAAACGGATTGTATAGGCAGACTAATTTTCTTTTCTTTATATTGATTATTTATCTTTATTATAAATATGAACTTTTTTCTACGATGTTGATTTGAGACTTTCATAAGTGTTCATTGTTCTGGAATGTTGATGAATCTTGGACATGGTCAAAAACAACAAAGATGAAGAAATTAGTCCAAACCAACCAATCCAATGTAAAATAAAGTAAAAAATAGACATTTTGATTTGATATTTAAAATTTAGAAATTAGATTAAATTGATTTAGATTGAAACCTCAGTGTAAAGTAATATATGTGCTATTAAAATATTAGTGGGGAAGTCTGCTGTTCATTTTTTTAACTAAAAATTTCTGTCAGTTTGTTTAAAACTTAAATTCTGAATGAAATAAATCTAAAACCCATGAACTAATTTAGACTATTTTTATAAGGAAAGCTGTGCTTCATTAACTCATGCAATTCTGATAATAAAAAGAATTCTACTTTAAATAAGGAATATTTTTTCAATTGGCTTTAGAACATACTATTCCAGTTTCTACATTGGTGTAGAAAAATTTTTTTTTTAGTGTAATATTAAATAATTTATGACAAAAAAAGCCCTCTAAATTATTTTTATTTTCATGTAGTTTCCTCATTTTCTGTGTAATGTACTTTGAATGTAATTATTTCTTACAAGCAGACTGCTTGGTTAACCTATGAGAATCACCTGCAAAGTTCATTGGCTGACCATGATATAAATGTAAGTAGACACAAAATACCTGCAAGTGTACCTGGTCAACTTACATGTCTTTTAGTCTACCAAATGGTGTGTCTACTTGGATTTATATCTTGGTCAGCCTATGAACTTTACAGCTGATCCTCATATAAAGCAAATGTTTATGGAATTAAAAAAAAAATGTTCCTTCATATAATTTTGCACTTAAAGAAAATGCAAAACAATTCTTATATTTTCTAAGACAGATTTTGCACTGTGCAACTTCTCAATACTGAAATATTACAGGTTATATGTTATATGTTGTTATAATTCTAGTAACCATATTCTGTTTATAAGGATTAATTCCTCATCATTTTCATTTCCCAGTGCATGTGCCAAACTTTGAAACAATGACCCCCCCCCTCCATCTTTTATTTAATTTTTTGTTTTTCTTAGTTTGCTGCCAAAGAGGTTACCATTGTACCAACACTGTATCTGCAGTTTCTTCTGTGTTTCACATATTGGGTTAATTTGGGTTATTTCTCTATTAATAACAAACTCTTAGAATCTTCCAGACCTCATGGATTACAGCCTTATCATATTGAAATGCAGATTCCCATATGATCACCAAAGTTAAGCAGTATCAAGCCTGGTCACTACCTAGATGGGTGACCACTTGGGAATACCATGTGCAGGGGTTCTAACAGATAATAGCTCAGAATTAGAAATTCGAGAGCAGAGTTTCAATTCCAGCTGGGTTGGTTATATTCATATACGTGCAAATATCCTAGAGAAAGGTATGAATCCACCTCTTCTTCCCCCAGCTGTGGGTTAATTAGTAGGACTTGTATCAGTAAATCATTACAAATTCTTACAATCTAAAAATATTTTCTGGGTTTATTAAATAACCTGCAATAAGCTGTTAAAAAAAAATCAATCCAAACCTTACTCTTTGCTTTAATTTGAATAGTGTGTGTAGATGTGTTACATATGTATACAAAAAGTAGCTAAAGAGAATATGTATACACAGGATAATGTCTTGTGCATATATATATATATATATATATATATATATATATATATATATATATATATAAAGAATGCACACCTTTCATTGGGAATTCTTTGGAGTCTATCTATTAGCTTCATTTCCATACCCAAATGTCAAATGTAATTTTTAAATGGGTTTCTCTAATCTGACATTTATTTCTTATTGCTATAAATGTTATTTTTAGTGGCTATGCATATTTGTATTGACATCCTCATTTTTTTCTCTTAAATAGTGAAATTGATATAAACTGGCCTAGATCCATCTAAAAATTACTTTGTTTACATTTTGGGTATGAAAAAAATGAAGCCAGCAGGTATAGATTTGAAGAAGTCCCAATGAGAGGTATGTATTCCTTAAGTATGTAATTAAACCTTGCTTTATCATTGACATTCCTTGACAAGTGGATGGAGTGATTCCTGTAGGGTCTGTCTATGAAACTCTGGAGTTGGGATACTGAAGGTAACATCAATCAGCTAAGTGATAAACTTTTATTTGTATTAATTATATATAGGCTGAGTGGTTATAACGTTCACATTCTGACCATGAGACCCAGGTTCAAATCTCACCATGGTCGATTTGTCAGGAAGGAGACTTCCTGATATTATTGGACTGAAGGGGTCAATCCCAGTGTGCGATACCTTTGGAAAGTGCCTGAAAACCATACCATGGGTTGACTCAAGCCTTGTGAGTGAAAATGGGTAGACGGAACCCGTGTGAGCTGTCGATAGCTGTGCTAGCACCAAGTCACAAGTCATTGTGGCTGAGGGCTTGAGCATGCTGGCCTTGTTCAAATTGTTGATCACATTAGATAACACGCTCTTTCCTGGAAACTGTAACTCAGCATAGTTGCAGTATAAAGGTGGGCTCTGTGGGTGCTTTAATAAACACAAATGCACCTGAACAACTGTCTGCAATAGGGATTAGCTAGCTACCCTAGTAGACGGGTATTCTTGAATATGAGTAGCCAGCTATACTATATATATATATATATATATATATATATATATATATATATATATATATAAAGCAATTAATGTGCTTTTTTTTTAAATCTAACATTCTTTCTTATTACTCTGTTAAATTTAGTGGGAATACAGTTTAAAAAAAGGATATAGGTTTAATTGTTGTTGGGAGGCACAATTTTATTAGTATTCTCAATTTCTGGTAGTCATTTCACTGTTTAAAAATATATACTAATGCCTACTGAAGTACTTGTACCAACTAAATATAATATTTATAGTTGTGTGTGTGTGCTGCAGGAAACTTTTTTTTTTTTTTTTCTGAGGTCAAAAAAAATTTTCTTTGTTATTGATCTCTTATGTCGTACAAGAAAATTTATAGTCATAAAGTGAGTCTCTTTGTTCATTCTCATAACAAGCAATTTTATTCATACAAACCCATTTTACCATGTCATAAATTTTCTCTTAATTTTACACTTAGACATTATTTTTATACTCTAGCAAGACTTTGTTAATCTACACCAACATTTTTTTATACAGTTGTAAGAGCAAAACAATATGAGTGTGAGGCACAGAATGTAATCACTGAGGGGGTTTGAAAGTTTATCCTTTTGTAAGCAGTATGAGTAACACAAAAACAGGTTTTAAGATTGGTTGTGAATTTTTATTTATTTTTTTTTTTTAACACATTGACAGCCAGAGGTCAACTTTATAATGACCATCTTAGGCAATGAAAATTGACAAAGTTTAACCTTAGTGCCCACAAAAGAAAGTCTGTCAAAAAGTATGTTTTTTTTTGTTTTTTCTCTTGACACTGCTATTACAGTAAACTTGCTTCACTTTGTCGACAATGTTTGTTGTTTCAAAAGCGATGATTAGAATTTTAATAAAATCCAAGCATACAAAAGTGAATTTATCCATTTTCTTTGTTCTTGAGAATTTAGAACAAAAATATTAAACACTATTTATTTATGAGATTATTTCTAAGAATAATTTTATATTTACAACATTATAAAAATATGTGATCCAACAAATACAATGAATATGAAAATGTTTTTATTCATAAAGTCATAAAAATTGATTAAATTATAAAAATATGTCATCCAACTATAATGAAATCTTTATTTACCATTTTATAAAGTTGGAATCGATTGGAAATTAGTCATTGTTTTGCCAACCAGGCCAAAGAACACAATCTGAGATATAAAATAATTTGAGAAGATAATATCTGGCAGATTCATGTTTATTTAAATTTTCTTATTCTATAGTCCATTTTTATATTTTTATAAAATCATGAATAAAAAAAAAATTGTTTTCATAATTATTTATAAAATGGTAAATAATAAATATCACATTGTATTTGATTTGTATATTATAATCTTGTAAATAAACATTACCATGTGAGTTTTAGTTGTATACGGTGATAGCAGTATCAATAGAAAAAAATGTCATTTTTAAGAAATCTGTTTTGCAGGCATGTGGGTTAGTTTGTCAAAAACATTTTATGAGCTGATTTCTAGCTTAAACTGAAGTCTTAACATTGTTTTTTTTTTTTTTTTTTTTACACTAAAATTATCACTGTAAATAAATTTATCATTGAAAATGTACCAGAAAATGCCAGGCACAAGATAACTCATAATTGGCATAATAAAATTATAAAGTTATTTCATGATTGGCTGTCAATGTGTTAAGCAATGAATTTTCTAGCCGTAAATATAATAAACTTTAAATAACTTTCATCAACTTTAAAACATTTCCAATAAAGATTCTATTGTGTAATTATAGTTTGTTTTTGATCCAATAATTTATTGGATAAAAATGGATTAATGTATGCATTATTTTTAACACATGAGCCTCTAATTTAAATATAGGGAACTATCTCAGATGGTGCAGCAGAATAAAAAGAGATTAATTATCAAAGTTTGATAAAATAGCTTTGTGCTTCCTATGATTAAAAATTTTTTATTTTATTTTTTTTGTTCATTTCAGTTATAATTAGTGAATCCAACATTTGTGGGAACTACTTAAATAGATGGGTCCACTCAAAAAAAAAAAATAAATAATTTTTATAAATTAGCATTCTTCATACCTTATGCTATGACTCTCAAAAAATATTGATTTAGAAGGGAGGGTCCTGTTTATAATATCAATACAGTGTCAAATCAATCCCTGACTTTTACAGAATTATTGGCCTAACTGTTTTGCATATTTGCTTTCTTTTTTAAATTTTTGAAGTGGATTACAAATGATTTCTCTAAAATAACAAACAAACAAATATATATATATATATATATATATATATATATATATATTTAATTAAAGAATAAAAATTTGTATAATTTATTAAAATTATGCATCTGATTATTCTTAATTTAAGATAAATTATTATGAATCTCAAATGTTTGTGCAGGTTTCCAGAAAAATCTCATATAGTTTTAAAAAAAAAATGTTTTTAAAAAAAAAAGTTCAGAAAATTTAAAAAATATGCAGATATCAATGATATTATCAAATTTTTCAAACTTGTCATTTGTAAATAATAACTAAGTGACTTCGCCTCAAGCCAGTAACTGTAAAATTCAGGGATCGATTTGACACTATTAACATTGTAAACAGTATCCCCACCACTTCTAAAAATGATAAAAAAAAAAAAATTAATATTTTTTTTATTCTGTCAAGTGTTGCAGCCTAAGGATGGTAAAGAATATTATTATACAAAAATTATTTCTCCCCAGCCAATTTCCCTATTTTAAATTTATGTGTGGACCAGTCTAAGTAGTGGCAATGGCTGATATTCAAAAAGCTTTTTTTGTCTTCCTCTTCTTTCTGTTGATAACAGATGATGTGATTTGGAATTTGTGATAACTGGGTTTACAGATATTTTTGAGGGTTTGGTTTCTTAAATGGATTTTTTTCCTTCCCACAATGAAATTATAATTCCTTTTTTTTCCTTCCACCTTTTTCAAAATCTGAAATTATTACTGGTGAATGTTTTAAAATTTATATTTTTCTTTTGAAAGTTTTCTTTTTTTAAATAAAACATTGATAATTTTTCATTTGTTTTTTGTTTTTCTTACAGTTCCATTTTTCCTTCTTGTACTCTTTCCCTTTTCTCTCCTACTTTTCAGTTTGTGCTACAAACAGGATGATGATAGGTATTGCTTTGTTTACACCTCCAAACTTTGTTTGTTGTCCCCCCCATCCCCCCAGCTAAAGGTTGTTAGCCCTAAGAATAATTTTAAAAATCTGAAATTAGAAATAAGGCCTTCTTATAGGAAGAATTAATTCACCCCAATGCTGACTCTGAAATCCACTGCACCTCTCATTTCAAATCCAAATTTCAATTTCGGATTTGGTTACATCTTTCAACTCGCATCCAAAAGCCAGTTCAGAAGATATAATTTTATAAACTAAGTACCACCAGAATGAATGTGCTTTTTTTCCAAAATGAAAGCAAAAATAATATCACTACCCTGTTTTTGAAAATTTTCAAAAAGAAAATACTGGAAATATCCAATTTAAACAATTTTCAGTACTTAATGAATTAATTGTATATGCAATAGGTCATATTATTAGAAAACTGGAAATATTTTCTTTGTGGTCAGTTTAACCCTCCACTTTTTGATATCTCATGTACTTTTTAATATGGGAGCTGTTTGCATAAATCCTTTTACAGTTATGTAAAAG